TGGGATGTGTAGTCATAATTATGATAGAAAAAGGCAATCTTGTATGTGTGTTTGGAGATGGCAAAATATTTATCAGGATTCATCAATATTTCCTATGTAATAAATTGTTTTTTCTAATTAGGGTGGCATTTATAAAATCAAAGTTATGGCCTGTTTTGTTTCTGTGTGTTACTAATGAGTTTAAAGGGCTATCCTAACATACATCTTTCTTATGTTTGTAGATGCAAACTTTTAGATTTCTAGATGTTTTACTTGTGTAGCTTTTCTTATATTGCTGGTATTTTTTATATAATAAATCCCAGCACCTGATATAGTGTTGGATCTCTTCTTCTTTTGAACTATATCTCTGATTGTCTTGGAAGTGGCAGTAAATCTTAGTGTTGGGGGATACGTAGCTTGTTTTCAAATTTTGTTGATAGTGTTAATATTATTAAAAGAAAATAATGGTTGATAATGCTTTATATAGTAAAAAAAAAAATACTACAATTAATAACTGAAATTAAGATTAAAAATATTAAGAACTGTCAAGGCTTCATCTAATAATAATAAAATTCAATATTACTATCAAAACTACTTGTGTAAATTAAGCGTTTGAAATGAAGATCAAAAGTAATACTAGACTTGGATGATTATCTTTTGGCTTTGTTTTGAGTTACAATTTTCTTTTATTTGTTGTTTATCATCTGGTGACATGATACACATTTTCACAAAATAGAAACAAGTTGTTTTAACAACAGATTCAAATGCGACCTAATTCTTTTGGAATCAAATGTGTTTTCATTCAACAGCATTGTTTCCCAATTATTGAGACTAGCAATAACTGGGCAAAAGAATAATTTTTATAAAGCTTGTAATTTTGCTAATACAGCTGTACTTGTACAAAGATGTTGAATGTCATATAAAATACTATATAAAATAAGCCATTTAGAAAAGCATCTCCCCCACCCCATAATGAAAGATTCCACTGCCAGTTGGATTCAAACAATGGAAATACTAATATTGTAACATCATGTTAAGAACATGAGATTAGTAGAAATTTTAAGCACTGACACAAATGATATGCAAAAATATACACTTTGAATTTTGTGAACAAAGTCCTCAAAATTAAGAGCACTGTATTTTGGCTGAAGATTTATATATTTGTTTAAAATGTGTGATATTAATAGAAGTGTAGTCAGTATCAGAAAGAGAATAAGTATAAACATTGTAGACATGGGGATCAACACTGCATGGTGATTGTTGTTTTCATGTTTCAATAAGATCTTCAGACCAAGTGAAACTACTCCAAAAAGACTGAAGAAAATTCCATAATCCAAATGTAATAAACTTTATTCCTAATGCCAAAACAGAAACTAAGAAAAATACATGAAAAAAAAATATTCAAAACAAATAAAATAATGTTTATATAGATAAGCAATTTAAATGTCATGGGTATAAATAAACCTAACCTATTTACATAAACACTTCCACCAACTAGCCTAAATAAGCAATCTAGGTCATGACCGTAAATTACCCACAGTATTAGCCCTAGACAAAAGAATTTAAGAAGGACTGATTTCCTCTTAATCCCCCTAGTGACACACACGTGTGTGTGTATATATATATATATATAGGTCTGAAGATCTCATTGAAGCATGAAACTGTCAGTCACCATGAAGTATATTCATTCTGTTGTCCATACTGTGTCTCTCACCTATTTTTTATTTCTTACAGTATTAACACAGTTATAGCTGATCTTGACATTATTTTTGTTAAAATCTTTTTTGTTATATAGTTTGTAATGACCATTATTCAAGTTGATTTATGTTTATTGCAAACCATATAACAAAGATCTTTATAACCATAAATACATCAGTAAAGAATCAAACCACCATCATAAAATTCTAGATAATTTACATAAATCAGTCCAAGTTACCAACTTCAGCAATAAGGAAATATTTGATAATAAAAAGATTAAATATATAAAGGCTTTAGATCTAAGCAATCATAAAGTAAATTTAGGGTATTTAGAAAAAAAACAAAGAAGGTAAAAATAAACACTGTAAGCATAACATCATATGGTTTAATCCAACTTTTAATCACAATATTCAAACTAATATCGAAAGAATTTTTCTAAATTTAATTCATAAACACTTTAACCTTTTGCCGACATAAAAAAGATTTTTAACAAAAATAATGTCAAGATCAGTTATAACTGTGTTAATAACATAGATAAATCTATATCCCAACATAACATTGTTTTTACTGGAAATATATTTAATACAATGTTAATTTTTAAAAAAAACTAAATGCAATGGCCAAAAAAAGTGTTCTTTCCCTTAAACAGTCAATGTATGATTGATAATATTGTATACTGAGCTAACATACATATGGTAACAATGTTCCACTGAAAGTCCTTGGAAATTTCATTTCTACCATGTTTTTCAGCATTATAAAATACAAAAACAGCACTGCTCTAAGTATTTCTGACAATGTAAGCATAAAAATAAATATCTACTTAAATACATTGATCCAGATTATTTTTTTTAAACAAGTAATCTCCCTTTATGCTTAATATAAAAAAAATTATATTCACAACTCTAAAATGTTTTTTTATATATATATATATATATATATATATATATATATATATATATACACACACACACACACACACACACACACATTGCATTTATTTTAAATGCTAAATATAATTTTCAAATTAAAAAAAAAAAAAAAAAAATGTAACTGTGCCAACATTGCAATAACCAGATATTTTTTAAAATTTAAATTACGTAATGGTCAGTCTATACTCAGTATATGAAGATTGCATTGTGCATGGAACTCTGAGTCCTGTTATCGGTGAAGGGTAATTTGTATATTTATTAATATATACATATATGTGGACACTGATTAGCAACAGTCTTTCATGTTTGAATGCAATCTTCAGTCTGTGTGGTGGCTCAACTATTTATATATGCTGGTTAGTAGAGCATTATTTTTGGTTTATTGTATTATCCTAATGGTTATTGGGCAGGTGACAGTGGTTATATTACAAATTATTCTAAATGCTTTTAAGTACATATAATCATGGGTAAAAATTTGGTTATTTGTAGTCGTTGTATAGTGTTGTTTGTTAACTTTTAATTCGTTATTTATTATTGGTTCCTTATGGTATTTTGTATTTGTTGATTATTATTAAATTTATTTGTGATTCATAGTTTAATTTGTTTATTATTTATTTACATAATTTCTTTTCATTTTTTCCTTTTCCAGGGTTGGTTATCTTGTTTGTTTAAAGTACTGGCTTTGTCTAAAGTATGTTATATTATCTGCTTTGTATATAGTGCATATATAAATTTGTATTTTTCTAGGTGATGTTTTACAAGGTATTCATTTTTTAATTTTTGATTTTTAAGAAATGTAAAAATTTATATTCATGTCTGCATTTTTTAAAAATAAGTTCTGATAATTTGTTTAGTAATTTGTGTTGATCTGGGAAGGTGATCATAGATAAAAGATTATAGTTTGGGGATCATAGATAAAAGTTTACAGTTTGGGGATTTATTGTAGGCTGATGTTGTTTTCCTTATTTTCCATGATAGTTTTTGTGCATTTTTTTGTTTTTAATTTCCCATATATGTTTAGAAAGGGTTGTGCTGTTTGTATATTTTCTATTTATAAAGCATGTTTTGTGTGTGTGTAGTTTCTGTTTCCATGGTCTTTCAGCTACTCCTATGTATATTTTTTCTTTATCTGATGTTTTTACAGTGGCTTGATACATTATATTGTTTTGTAAGCAATTTCCATTTAAGGGATTATTCCTTGGATAGTTGCCAGCCACGCAGCAAATTGAGATGAGGAGCAGATTGTTGGTAGGAGGAAAGAGCTGAGCTGTTAGACTGTCATGGGAGAAGTTTGGGCTTCACATTTCTCAACATTTGGTTTCATCTTTTGTTTCCTTTTGAACTTGTACTGGACCTTTCCCAGTTTTTGGTGCACATCAAAATGAAAGTAGTGACTCATATGGGGTATTCACTGACCAGTTGGTGGAAAGATTGAGAGAAGGGCCCTGTTGTATAATTACACCAATATGTTTATGTTTTGACAAGTCTAATGCTTCAGCCTTTGTTAGGTGTATAATCAGAACAGAAGAAATAACAAATTTTCTCAAAAAAAAAAAAAAAAAATAAAATTACAAAAGAAATGATTATCAGTAATTTAATAGTTTTTTTTCTATTTTTTTCCCTGTTACCATTTTTCTGTTTTTGATTTATGAAGGCTTGACAAATATATTATCCCAAATATCATAAACATTAAAACGTTCACTTATAGGCAATATTTTCTAAGAATTTAATAATAAAGAATTTTAGCAACTATTTTTACTTTCAGCTGAAATCCCAATGACTGTTTAAGGCAGAAGTTTGTCTGTACATGTGTTTCCACCATAAATTAATCAATTATGTATTATTCTGTAGAGCCATAATACACAAGATGACATTATTGATTCTTAATTATATTAGATATATTTCTTAATACTGGAACCCATATAACAGACGTATAAGCAGAATTAGTAATTAGAGTTCAAGTTTCATCTTTGTTGGTTGCATTTACTTTCACACTAGTATCTTTGGGAATAGTATAAATGATTTCTTCTCTAAACTAAGAGTTACATAGCAGGATAACTCTCTTGCCTTGGTTGGTAGCCACTATTGGGGAAGAACTAAATTTCACACTGTAGAGAAGGCAATGGGGAAACCACTCCACTGTCCCACCATGAAATTTTGACAATTAACAAATAAGAAAAAGGAATCTACTAAAGCCATGTTTACCTACATGGATATGAATGAACATGACATTAAAAAAACTATCAAAACAGCTTATTTTCTATTTCTGTAAATAATTTTAATATTATAGGAAATTGAAATATGTGCAAAATGCAACATTTTTTTATTTATTTATTTAATGGTAAGATATGGCAAAAAACTATGTTGATATATGCACTTGTGTGTTATATTCAGGCCCCATGGGGATGCCTCCTCCAATGAAACCTGGGATGCTGCCACAAGGTCAGCCCGGGATGCCTCCTCAAAACCAGCCTGGGATGCCTCCTCAAAATCAGCCCGGGATGCCACCTCATGGCCAGCCTGGGATGCCGCCTCAAAACCAGCCTGGAATGCCGCCTCATGGCCAGCCCGGGATGTCATCTCATGGCCAGCCCGGGATGCCTCCACAAAGTCAGCCTGGGATGCCTCCACAGAACCGCCCAACCCAGCCAGGAGTGCCTCCTCTGAGTCAGCCTCACCAAAACCAATATGGAGTGGGGATCCCTGCACAAAATGGGCCCCAAAATGATAATTTTGGGGGACCTGTTATGGGACCACCAAGGTTTGTGCTCTTTTCTTTTTTTGAGATTTTTGAAATGTCTAAATCCTGAAAACTAACTCTTAATTTTCAGAACTGTTATCAAATACATAGATTTTTGCTAACCTTTCTTATTTGTAAAACTATTTAAATTTTATTTTTAAATATTTTAATCTTAATGATTTATTTGCTTGACTATTAAAATAATAATCAATCAGATAAATCACTTGAAACTTTCTTGATTTATTGAAAAAATATTATTTTAGACAGACTTGATGCTAAATTTCTAAGGTGAGGAATTATTATTATACACAGATTTATTCCTCATCATGGTTATAGTCATAACATCTCAATTGCCATCCTCTTTCACATCCTTCAAATGTTTGTTGTATTTCCCAAGAGGCACCATGTATTTGTTGTCTTTGTAATGCTGCTTTTGTTGCTTCTGCTGGGAATTGAACTCTGTATCAGAAAGGTTTTAGAAGAAAAAATGCACTTTTCTGTCTCTCAAAAAGCATGTGCATGTATACACTCAACATGCCTACGATCAGTTAGACAAGAATTTACATAAACTGTTTAGCTCTGTGTGAAAGAGAGCTAGAAACAATGTCTGGGTCTTTGGATAACTTTTTTGGTAGATAATGCACATATGTTATTCAGCAACGTAAACTATATTCTTTGTGACAATTTTATATGGCAACACTCAACTTGTATATTTAGGATGGGACCTCTTCCAACAAGTACCCAGCAGCAGATGGGTTTTGGCGGTCAGCAAATGGGGTCAAACCAGATTCAGCCACCACTCATGATGGCCCCTCCAGTTTCCACAAATAATCAAATGGGAATGCCTCCATCCAATATGGCAGCACAACCTCCACTACAAGGAGGGCAGTTCAGAGGACCTCCTCCACAAGTAAGTTCTAGCAAGTGGTTTTATTATTATTTTTTCTCTTATATAAAATTTTGATAATTTAAGTCCTAATTTTTTAGTCGTTTGATTTAACTTGCAGCCAATGAAACATATTCTATGCATTATTGTAATTTAACTTATTAGGTAAAATATAACGAATACTGAAAAAAGAAGTGAATGCTTATATGTATAATAATTCTGCTTGTTCCTCCCTTAGTTAGCATGACCGTTACGCCCTGCCAATACCTGGTCCGATAATGGTCTCTTCTGTTTTGATCACATGGAAAGATAGAAAAGACAGGTGCTACCTAGTTTCAGTGAGACAATGAATGAAAGAAGGGAAGATAGAAGTGTTTAATATATCCTGCCAATGCCTCATAAGTAATGGACTATTCTGTTTTGATTGCATGGAAAAAGGGGGAAAAGACAGAGACCCTACTTAGTTTCAGTGAGAAAATGAATGAATGAAAGAAGTGTTTAACATCTGTTTTGGTAAAATGGAAGAAGTTGTCAATTTGAAATCTTTTCAAGGCCGATAGAAATTCTGTCTATACAAACTCAAATTAAAAAAAAAAGCTTTATCAGTATAAACATTACTTATATATGTCAATTTTTAAAATTTGAATTGAAAATAACTAACTCAGAAGAAATATTTATTAAAATATGTTTTTAAAACTTTATATGTCAATTAAATATTACTGCTAATGTTGTAAAGGCCACCTGTTAGTAATACATGTAAAAGTTAGGGACAGACACATAAACATTTAACATGTAGTTGTTTGGAGTTCATCGTATTAGAGTTCATGAGTTCATCGTGGTTGTTTGGAGTTTCATCGTTTGGAGTGAGTTCATCGTTCATCGAAGTTGTTTGGAGTGAGTTGTTTGGTTGTTTGAGTGAGTTCATCGTAAGTTGTTGTTTGTTTGGAGTGAGTTCATCGTGTTGTTTGGAGTGAGTTCATCGTAGTTGTTTGGAGTGAGTTCATCGTAGTTGTTTGGAGTGAGTTCATCGTAGTTGTTTGGAGTGAGTTCATCGTAGTTGTTTGGAGTGAGTTCATCGTAGTTGTTTGGAGTGAGTTCATCGTAGTTGTTTGGAGTGAGTTCGTTTGAGTTCGTTCATCGTAGTTGTTTGGAGTGAGTTCATCATTAGTTGTTTGGAGGAGTTCATCGTAGTTGTTTGGGAGGAGTTCATCGTAGTTGTTTGGAGTGAGTTCATCAAGTTGTTTGGAGTGAGTTCAGTTTGTTTGGAGTGAGTTCATCGTAGGTTCATAGTGGTTGTTTGGAGTGAGTTCATCGTTGTTTGGAGTGAGTTCATCGTGGTTGTTTGGAGGAGTTCATGAAGTTGTTTGGAGTGAGTTCATACGTAGTTGTTTGGAGTGAGTTCATCATTGTTTTTGGAGTGAGTTCATCGTAGTTGTTTGGAGTGAGTTCATCGTAGTTGTTTGGAGGGAGTGAGTTTCATCGTGAGTTGTTTGGAGGAGTTCAGTTCATTGTTGGAGTGAGTTCATCGTTTGGGAGTGAGTTCATCGTAGTTGTTTGGAGTGGTTCATCGTGAGTTCATTGGAGTGTAGTTGTTTGTCTGGCTTTCAACTGTTTGGACAAGACCTCTGTCTTGTTTGGGCACAGGGTTGCATCAGTTGTTGGGGATTCAACTGACAAGACCTCTGTCTTTGGGCACAGGGTGGCTCAGTTGGGGATTTGTCTACGGATAGACTTGGCTGAGTAGAACAAACAAGCAAAGTACTTGTTCCCTGCATTTGCATGAAATGGGTAAATTTGGACCACTGGCCCAAGTGGATGCACTCAGGTTCCCCACATAAAACCTAAACTTGTTGCATTCTGTCCAAGTGGGGAGGCATGAGTAAATACCTAACATTTAACCCTCGTAAATTTATAAAAAATAGAAACTTATTAGTTTATTTAGGTTTTTGACTTATGCTATATCATCTGTTTTTTACTTGTCTTCAATCTTCTCCTTGGGAATAGTAGTGATTTTCTAAGTGTAGCTTAGATGTGGCACAAGGCCCAAAGTAGGGGGCACCTAGTGAGGATCAAACTCACTACTCGGTTGTAATTGTTCTAGCGAGACAAGTTATAATTGTTGAAACAGTAATTAATTGTAGATCTTTTGTTTTCTGTTCTTGTTGCTATTATTTTTAAATTGTTTCTAGTGGCTCTAACCTATTTAAATAAACTTTATTTTCCCTGTCAGTACATGTATTAAGCAATTCATGGTGTATATTTGACTTTGCAGATGGTGTCTCAAATGAGAAATATGAGTATTGATTCTACAGGAAATCCGCCTTTGCAGGTTTGTAGTTATCTCTTAAGCCCCTAATCTGGGGAATCATTTAAAGGGTCAAAAATTGTAAAATGAATAAATTGGGTGGTCTTGATAAGGTTAAGGGGTCCAGAAAATTTCCTCAAAAAAGAAAAAAAAAGTTTTTAAATTTTAGAGTGGTTTTAATTTCTAACTAGCATAATATCCACAAAAAATGTGACATTTAACATTTACTTACCAGATAACTCAATTTCACATTTAAAATCTGAGAGATATTTTTTGTGCTGTCAAATATAGTATTTTAATAATTTCTTTGACTATGAAATTCATCAAATATGTAAAGGTTGTTACAAAACTTTCTATGCTTTCTTGTATTGCTTAATCAAAGCATATTGAAGATTTGAGAAAAATATTTATTGGAGATTTATAAAGGATTGTTGCTTTAAATGTCACTTGTACTTTAGGTGATTTACATTTTTTATGCAAATACTATAAAGGGTTTTCTTATACACTCTTCACTTACCTGTCTAATGACCTTTGGTTCTTATAACTAAATATAAAATCTCATGAAATAATAATAAAAAAAAGGTTAAAAATTTAACTAGTTGTATTATATGATATGTGAAAATTTTGACTAATTGCTTTCTTTTTCTTCAAAATGAATCAAACTAAATAAAATGAATAAAGTGAAAAATAATTAATTTACAGTATGCAAATGATTACAGAATGTAGATTAACACTTAGCACTCTGCATCATTTATAAATATTACTTCCCCTTTTACTGTATATGAAATCCCCTAAAAATATAGCCTTTTATATATTAGTTCTATATATTTGAAATTGCTTGGCTCTCAATGTCAGTCAAGATTGTTTTAGGTGTTGCCATAGGAAGATATGACTACACAACAAAGAAATTCAAATTCAACTTGCATTGGCAAGACTAACATTTTGCTTAGTGAAAATAGTCACCTACAGAGTGCTAATGGTTAATAACTTTTTTTTTAATTTGTTTATTATATTTACTGTTCAGTACTGTACTACATAAACATTTAGAAATAGAAATGTTACAAATAGTGCAAAAGTGAAATTAAAGCTGGTTGACACAAATCCACTACACATATATGTTTGAAATAGCAGTCAGGTACAACTTCTCACTTAGTGACCAGCTTGTTAACTCATAAGTGGCTATATTTAATACCTGTCTGAGATGTGCGTGTGTGAATGTTTCTCTTTCAGTCACCAAACAGTTCAATGCCTCCATATTCAAATGCTGGTCCGCCGCTATCATCTGGAATTGGCCCACCACCATCTTCAGGGATTGGTCCTCCTCCAGCATCTACAGGAACTTGTGGGCCTCCGACTGCACCTGGCATGGTCATCCAAGCCCAGAACTTTTCTCTGCCTCCTAATGCTGCACCCCCAACTCATACTGACCTGTCAGGACAAGCACCTACCCAACCTTACATGATGAGACAAGGGCCACCTCCATCTTCATCTGTGGCTTCGAGTACATATGGAGCGGCTCCCCAGATGCCACCACAGCCATCTATGGGTCAACCTCCAGCTCCTGTCCCTGGTGTTCAATTTCCTCCCCCTACCCATGCTGGAGGCTATCCTGGTTCTTCACCACAGATGGCTTCTGGCGGTTATCCCAGTGGGACCCACCCCAATATGCAACCGCAGCAACCGAGAAGATTGGACCCGGATCAAATGCCCAGTCCAGTATGTTAAACTACTCTTTTATCAATTGTCTTTACTCCCCCAAAATCCACCCATTTTCTTTTTTATTTTTATTTTTATTTTATTTTTTTTTTTTTTTTTTGAAAGATATTACTTTTTCAAGAAAAATTATAGCAACTTATGACATCTAAATTTAATTTGGTTAGTATATAATATAAAACACAATGTTTATTTGGAATCAGACCCAGTGCACATAGGTATATATATGTTCATAATTGTTTTTAATTTGATTTTCTGTTTTATAGTATGATATATTGTTGGCAATTTTTTTTACTTTTATTCACACTCTTTATGTCCCCCCCCATTTGTGCTAAAAATTCACAAAAATTTTCCTTTTTTTTTCCTTTCTTTTTCTTTTTTTTTTTTTTTTTTTTTTTTTAAATTCAATTTTTATACTTTCTTTTTAATGCTACACCTCTGTGGAAAATAGGGTCACAGACTCACTACACAAGGTGTTGCTGTTGTGATCTCTGTAGTAAGTAGGTTTTTACAGGATGAAGTTGCCAACAGTTCTGAATCATAGTTGTCATCCTTCTAGACTGAGTTGCCAAGCAAGGCTAGAAATCCCAGTTTACCTTACTATTTAATCCCCAGTTGCGGGAGGAAACTAGATAGATATTTGTGTGAATGTAATGAACTCGGAATTTCAATTCCACTTTTCACACCTATGTCTGCTATGCTACATGCACATCCAACAACAGCTTGCATATTGAGGCTGTGGCCTTGTACTCAACAGGGTAGTCTTATGGTAATAAGGAGGATCATTATAATTTCATTAAATCTTTTTTACACAAATTCATGGCATCATTATAATTTCATTAAATCACTTTTACACAATTTCATTAAATCATTTTTACTGGTTTACTCTGACTTCAGGTAAATTGTATATTCCTTCATATTAATGGAAAAAATTTCCATCATTTTTGGCAAAAGCTTTTATTCATATAGATTCATAGCCTCATTATTCAGTCATTGAAATATTTTCCCAGGATTTCTATGACCTTGCATAATCTTTTCAAGTATTGGATTGGTGCAAAAGTCTCCATCCTTTTTTTAGAATTTTTTTTCATTTATTAATATTCATAGCCTCATTATTCAGTCATCAAATCATTTTCTCTGACTTTCTATCATTTTTCAATGAATACGCAAAGCATGAAAGAATGATTCAATGAATTATTCAAAATCTTGAACTGTTGGAACCACTAATCAGATAATAAGTTTTGCATAGACAGAACAATGTCTTGAAGGTAACAGATATGAAGAAGATGCCATAAGTTGAAGAACTTCCTCTGCTTGCTTGATGATTGTTTATTGCATCAGATTTATAATCTGAAGCAATGAACAATCATCAAGCAAGTAGAGGATTTATAATCTGAGGACAAATTTTGTCATGTAGTAAATTCACTGGTTGATTTTTCTTGACAACTGCTAATTGTTTTTTTTAGACAGTCACAGAGGTTTGTAGGTTCTTAAATTGACATTTTTTTTTCTTTGTCAAGGAGAAAGGGAAAGAAAAATTTCAAAGTATAGCAAATGTATTTAGCTTTATAAGAAATCTTAATGGACGCTATGAGAAGATCACAAATTTTTATTTATTTATTTTTTTAATCAAGTTGATCCCAATCAAGGCATTAAAGCCACTGAGACACAAGGAATTACTGGGAGTGGAAGAATTAGAAAACAGAAACACTGCCAACGAGCGAGTACAGAAAAAGAGTAATTGGGAAAACAGTATATAGCAATTGACATTGCATTTAAATTTTGGACGGTTAAATTTGACTGGAATGCTCTATCATCAATAATAAGCACACTTCCCTTCTAAATATGGCAAATTATAAATACAAACACACACACATCTATGTATAATATATATATATATATATATATATATATATATATTACCAATATCTGTCTGGATGAATTGATTCCATTAAAAATATTCGGCCTGAAGAGATGTATATAACAGTATTCATGAAATAAATTATGACCAAGATTGATTTTTAAGGTATTTTCTTCATTTATCATACATATGTGTGTGTGTGTTTTTTGGAGGGAAAATTTATGAATTTTTTAAGCAGTTCTGTGTCAATAGGTTTTGAATAATTGTTGTGTATTTGATTTTTTTTTTCCCTCCAAAAAAACAGTTCTTTGTCTTTTAAATAATTCTTTTAATGTTTTAAAAAAAACTGTTTAGTTTTTTTTTGTTGGTGTTTTTTTTTTTTTTTTTTTTTTAGGAATGTTTTTCAAGCATGAATGAAAATGTTGACAATTGTTCCTTTCTGGAAGATTATCATAATCATTTTCTTAGTTTCCTTTCTTTTTTTTTCCTCTGAGCTTTTTAAGTGATCTACTATAGTTTACTGATTGCACAAAGATTTTGGTAAATTTCAAAGTTACTTCTAGGGTTTCCTTGATATTTTGTAAAAGATGCTGCTGTGCCCTAAATTTTAGTTAAAGCTCATTAGAAATATTTAAGTAGAGATGAAATTATTTCTTTGTTTTGCATGAGCAGGAATGTACCTTTTATATTCAGTTTAACATAACCACTTTTCTTTTTATTCATTTCTCATATACATTGTTCTTTTAACATTACAATTTAAAAGACATTTTTTTATTTGTTATTGTTGGGTCGAGCATATCTCGCATAAGTGATGTCATTTCCTCTATGTTCCAGATGTAGTGATAGTTACATTTGGACAGCCATTTTCACTCAACAACTGCTACTTTGTGAAATAGACTCCCACATGGATGCTTCCCAGAATACTATCTTAACTTTTTCAAGTCAAAGGTCAATTGTTATCCATCCACCATGTCCTCCTAATCCTTACTTCCTACCACCACCTTTTTTTTTTTTTTTTAATTCAATTCACCACCAAGCATGGTGATAATGCCACCAAGATGCAATAAAAAAAAAAAAAAAAAGAATGAAAAGATTTTAGACGGAACCAAATACAATCCTAAACAGGAAACAAGGGATAAACCTCTGCACCTGTTCAAAAGACTATGAAGCAGTGTGAACTCAGTTAATCAGTTATGTGCCATGAATGGTACACGCTTAGGTGATCATGCATCTTTCGATACATGACTGACAAGGCAGATTTTTTCCCGCAGTAGGTTGCCATTTCTTTCTGTGGTAGACCAGTTACCATCCAAGGCTCTCCTGCTATTTGCCCATAGCTGGGGGGATAAGAAGAGGATTCATACTTTTCTCAAGAGTCAGTCAGTTATGTGCCATGCGTGATAACATGCTTAGGTGATCATGTATCTTTCAATACATGAATAATGAGGCATATTTTTTCCCCACAGTAGGTTGCCATTTCTTTCTGTAGTAGACTAGTTGCCATCCAAGGCTATAGAACCATGTCTGTCCTCCTATTTACCCATAGCTGGGGGGGAGAAGAAGAGGATTCATACCTTTCCTAAGGGTATTAGCATGTAAGTGAATGTATACCTCATTCATCATCACCATTTTAGCAGTAACCCTCTACTTTGAGTGACTCTCATGCTTTGTATTGGGTAAACATTATTATTAAAAAAAATTGTTTTTTTTAATCTGCTATAACACAGCAGAAGAATTTTTCCTCTTGAGTTTACCATAAAATAGCCTCTGTGGTAAGGCTATTTTAGGTGTTGAGCAGAAAACCTTGTATTCAGTTTCTATATAACCACATTTTTATTTACTTATATTCATTGTCCTTGAACATTAAAACAATTCAAAGGGCACTTGATTGCTTATTTGATATTGGGTGGAGTTTGTCTGAGTTGGAAAATAATCTGGATATTTTTTTTAAATATGCAGAATGATTTAAATTTACTTTTGAGTTTAGCACAGAAAATATGTGGTGAGGTTATTTTGGGTGTTGAATTTCTGGCATAACAAAAATTTTTGTTGACAAAAGCTTATTTTATAGATGAGGATAAATAGACTTTACTGTGATATTCAAACTGTTTTTATCATCTTGAAGTTTAAAAACAGATGAAAAAGGGTTTATTCTGATTCATTAAGGGACTCTGCATTCTAAATTTCTAGATTTTCTGCATGAACAGAGAAACTATTTTTTTTTTTTTTTTTTAAAGTTTAATGTGCGTTGTCTATAATTGTCATGAACATTTACAAGATTACTATTTTTGACACATGAATTCATTTTGTTTTGCTTATCACAATGATTCAGCCAATCCATTCTGCTGCTTTCTTCTGTATAGATAAATATTTTTAAACTTCTAAATTGTTTAAAATTATACTGCTTACTTTAAATTTACAGTTGAACAACGTAAAGCTTCTGTTTTTTTTTAAATTGATCAGTGGTATACATTTTTAACATTAATATATAAACAGTATATATAAATGCTTGGTTGAGGAATCGGAGAGCCAAATTCGAGGTCCAGTTGAATCCACAACATTCACTTACATGCTAATACCCTTGGGAAAGGTATGAATCCTCATCTTCTCCCCTCTCATCCCCCCCAGCTATGGGTAAATAGCAGGACAGACCGGGTTTATTATCCTTCGATGGCAACTGGTTTACTGCAGAAAGAAATGGCAAACTACTGCGGGGTGGGGGGTATTGGGAGGATTCTGCCTTGTCAGTCATGTATCGAAAGATACATGATCGCGTAAGCATGTATCATGCATGGCACATAACTGATATATAAATAAGTGTGTGTGTGTGTATATATATATATATATATATATATATATATATATATATATGCAACCTACATAAATCCAAAATTTTAAAAAAATTAATCAGTTTGTCTGATGATCGCAAAAGTGTGAAACACAGGGTCACAAACTCACATCAATCCAACTAAATATGTTAGCTCTATCTCTGATATTGAGTGCTTTCCAATAAGTACTATCATATATATATATATATATATATATATATATAAATTCAAAATCCTTTAGAGTGGACTGCCACAAGAAGTTGATGACTATGTAAAATTGGTGGTCCTGATCAGTAATTTATAATGTTCTTCAA